AGATTGAACTTCTCTGATGGTGACGGGGGGAATGGGAACTTCACAAAATAGCATCATCTAATTGTACTTCAAGCAATAATATCCTATTGTTCCCTGGCTCCATGGGGTCCCACATCATTAGCTGAAAGGCATTGCTGTGTGTGTGTGGTGAAAAACTCTTCCCAGTCCACCTTTCGCTGCGAATCACTCAGTGGAGTGGAATGTTACTGTCGCCAGTAATTGAGCTTGGAGTTTGTCAAAGATTATTTTTCATATCAACAACTCGTCCGAAAGCTGGAACGAGGATAACTTCAGGCAATAATAAAAGCTTCCGGCTCTGAGGTCGGCCAAGTGAAACACAAGAGTTCATACCATCTCACCCCAGAGAGCCCAGCACCAAGACACAACCTGCCCAACCCTCCACACCCCCCAACACCCAACCCCAGCTCTTTAATCCCAATGGTTTATTATCCCCTCTGCTGGTAGAATGGGTGTTTAATTGAGGGTAAAATTATCTTCCGCTTTTGATTTGAACTTATTAAGGTAGCGAGCCCTTTGGCTCTGTAATGCAGCTATGAATGGAGAGCTTAATGGCCCGTTTTGAGAGAATTGTAAGCATGCTTACTTTAATCTCTTTCTTATTTCTGTCTCCTTTCTCATCTCTCTCTCTCTCTCTCTGTCTGTGTTTCCTGTTATTCTCCAGCTGTCTTTATCTGTATCTCTCACGCCCTGTCTGTCTCTCTCTCTATTTGTATGTCTCTATCTCTCACTCTGCCTTGTCTTCTCCATATTCCTTATCTCTGTGTGTGTCTTTCTCTCCGTCACCTCCCTCTCTCTCGCTATCTGTCTTTATCTCTCTCTCGCGCCTCTTGCCGCTCTGTTCACGTGTTTTCTCTAACCTTCCTTCTTTCTCTCCTGTTTCCTCTTTCTTCCACCTTTCGTCCTCACCTCTTTCCCTCTCTCTCTCTCCCTCCCTCTTTCTCTTCCCATCTCTCTTTTCTCTGCTCCTCTTTTGTTTCTATCTGCCTCTCCTTCCGAAATCGAAGCACATGTCTTGCCCATTGACGTTTCCCTCCCTAGTGTGGGATCTAAAGTTTAGAGTTTCTAACTGAATTCCTTAATAAAGAAGAGAAGATACAAGATGAAGAGTTACAGAGTTTCGTAACAATAATAATGCTTACATTGGTTATAGCACCTTACTACGCTGTTGAGTCGTCTCAAAGCGCTTGACAGAATATACTGTAAAGTGTAGTGACTGTGTGTTTTGTGGCCGAAAAGCGGCAGCCAATTGCACACAGCAGCGTCCCACAAACATGAAGCTCAGTTGGAATGGAGGGAATCTTAGACTAGAGTCAGAGAAGTAGAGAGCACAGGCAGGAGACGAGGGATGCAGAAGAAGGAGAGGGTTAGGATGTGATGTGCCATTTTGCAGGCGTTGGCAAGTTGTTTGTGCTGGCTCACCGTGGGGTTAGCATCAGTGGCTTCTGATTCTATATGAGGTCTTGGCAGGTCTATTGTCTGACATCTCCTGGGATTAGATTCAATGATTTTGGTTGTGTTAGCTCTTGGCAATGTGGAAGTTCAGGCTAATTCAATGTGTTAATAGTTGTCACTCCCTTCGGTGCGAGGAGAAAGTTGGAGAGCTGCCTTTACATGGTCCCGTCTGTGCTTGTTTAAGCAGCCATTAAAGATCTCAGGTCTAATTGTGAAGAAAAAGCAGTTTCTCCTGGTGTCCTGGTCCTCCAGTCCTCCAGTTAAATTGGTTGTTCATGTTGTGGCTATTTGCGGAACAGCACTGTACACAAGTTGGCCACTCTGTTTTCTACAAATAAACAGTCGCTACCCTTGACAGCAATTCCCTGTGAAGCATTCGGAGACATTTTGGTGTTATAGATGTACTCTCATAGCGTAGTGGTTAGAGCACTCACCTCACAAACGAGAGGACCTGGGTTCGATTCCCAGGCAGGATGAAACCTTAATCAAGTTTCCTTACTCCACATACCTAATAGTAAGTAGGAACCTGGTTGTTGGTTGATTGGCAGATCGTTTCCAGGGGTAATAAGCCCTCAAAAAAAATCTAGTCACTCAATCCACAACTATTTATAGGACATTGCTGTGCTCAATTTTTGCCACGTTTGGCCCACAAAATACACAGTCACTACTAGTTGCAATATATTCAGTGAAGCTCTTTGAGATATCTCACCAATGTGATAAGGCGCTTTATCAAATGCAAGGATTATTATTATTATTACGCAAATTAGCCGCTCGGTTTTCTACAAACAAACAGTCACTACACTTGACGGCAGTTCCCTGTGAGGCGTTCGGAGACGTTTTGCTGTTATAATGTCAGTTTATTATTTTTGCAATCCCCTAAATGGTTTGTCCCAGGCTCCTGACCCTTGTAATCATGATCCCAACCCCCAGCTCGGGTGCGGATCCCTGACTGTCCAGCGCCTTGGGAGGTCCTCCTGACGTGAAAGGCGCTGTGTAAATGTCATTTGTTGTTGTTGTTCAATTGGCCGTATCTCAGCATTGGCGGCCGTTATGATTTGACGAAGGTTTAATTTTGCGTTTCTAATTAAGATTGAACAACCGTTGCTGCTTCCTGCTTTATAACATCCACAGAAGGGAAGCTTCCTATTGATTGCTCCTGTTGCTGAGCCTCGGTATTAGACGCTGATGAATGGAAAAACTCATATGGGTTTAATGGCTTAAAGTAATACTAAGTGTTTACATGGGAACTGCTTTCCCGGGCAGGAGTGTTTAACAATGTACACAGGTTAGTAAGAGAGTAAATCTCTGTGAATCCAACACTCCCGAAATAAACTACAGCACAGATTAAAAACAGAGTAAAGCTCCCTCTATACTGTCTGTCCACCCTCGCAAGTCAGGGTTAGAGACACAGTAAAGCTCCCTCTACACTGTGCGTCCACACTCCCAGGTCGGGGTTGGAGATAGAATAACGCCCCCTCTACACTGTCCATCCACACTCTCAGGTTAGTGATAGCATGTGATAAGAGACAGAGTAAAGCTCTTTCTACACTGTCGTTCCAACACTCCCAAGGCAGAGTCAGCACAAGATAGATACGGAGCTGTATTTTCATAGTGAATTCATAGTGCACTGAAATCTAGGTTAATGGCAGCCTGGAGACATCCCTTTGTATATTTTATAGAAAGCAGTAGAACAATGCCATTCTGGTAGTATCTGTCACATACTGAGTCCCACAAGCCCTGTGCTGAGTGCTGGGAATCCCTGTCAGTGTATGTAAAAGAGATTGTCCTTGCCAACAATTCCCCCAAATAAAATCTCTCATTCACTTCACGGCTGTTTGCGGGACATTGGCTGTTGCGTCCACCTATACAATACACAGTCACTACACTTCACAGAATATCCTGTGAATTGCTTTGAGAGGTCCTGCTGACATGAAAGGCACTCTATTAAATGTATCAAGAATTATTAGAGCGCATGCCTCGCAAGCAAGAGGACCAGGGTGAAACCTCAGGCACGTTTCCTCATGCCACATGCCTCTGTTTACCCAGCAGTAAGTAGAAATCTGGTTGTTAGTCGATTGGTGGATCTCTTTTCCAGGGGAAATAATCCCTTAATAAAAATATTTGGTGACTCAATTCATGGCTGCTGTGCGCAATTGGCCGCCATGTATTGCCCACAAAATATACAGTCAATTCACTTTACAATATATTCCTTGAAGCGCTTTGCGACGTCTCAACGACCTAATAAGACGCTATAACAAATCCAAGGAATATCATCAGTATCTCATAAAATGGTGCAGGAGGTTTGATGGGCAGGAAGGGTTCACTCCCCTTCCTGTCCTGTGTTCTGATGAAGCGCTACCCCCTCCCTAACCCACAGGCACTGAGGCCAGTTGCAGTCTCTGCTAATGTGCTGACTGAGGTCAGCTAATCAGCAGAGGAATGCATGCAGCGAGCTAATAAACTGAATAAACTCACTGAGCCATGTGGGGGGAGGGGAGGGGGAGTGCAGTCCGACGTGGAGTGTTAACAAATGTGAAATCATTACAGGACGGCTGGAATAATTGGCGGTGGATTGCCGAAAACTCTGCATTGTATCCCTGCAGGGTTTACTTATTGATTGATTTATTCAGGGCTATTTCCGTGCTGCCAGCGGGCACTGGCGCACATGCCAACTGCAGCATCGGCCTTTGTGGCACTGACGCACATAAGGCTTAGCCTTGCCAGCGGATTAACTATTGCCCCCCCCCCCCCCGACACTGCAGGGGAATCAGCAGCACACCACACCACACCACACAGTGGCCTTTAACACTACCAGGGGTTATCAGAGGGCAAACAGTGAGGAAGTTTTCACTGAACAATTGTTCAGTCACATAATAGCACAGATTTAAGATAATAAATTTATTAATAATAATAAACCTTGGATTTGATATTGCACCATATCACATCGTTGAGACGTCTCAAAGCCTTCACAGAATTTACTGTACAGTGGATTGACTGAGTATTTTGTGGGTGAAACGCGGCAGCCAAATGCGCACAATAGCACTCCACAAACAGTCGTAGATTGAGTGAACAATTTATTATTATTATTTCTATTATTTTTTTTGAAGGGATTGTTATCTCCTGGAAAAGCGATCCGCCAATCAGCTAACAACTGGGTTCCTACTTACTGCTGGGTAACCAGAGGCGTGTGGGGTAAGGAAACTTGCCCAAGGTTTCACCCTAAGCTAGGAATTGAACCCGCGTCCTCTCACTTGCGAGGCGAGCGCTCTAACCACTGAGCTACAGAACAAGAACAACTTGCATTTATATAGCACCCCTCACGCAGGTCAGCATCCCAGAGCACAAATAGACAGATAGAGACAGGGGGCAAGGCAGAGGACTGGTGTAGGAGAGGATCAGAGAGATAGTGTGGTGCTGGGTTGTGAAGGGATGTGTAGGTGGGGCCGGGGCCCTGCAAGCGGCTGTGCTGGGACCTGCTGTGTGACGTGACGTGATTTTTACCCTGTAATTATGATTTTATATCCCAGAGACTCCTCCTGACACATTGCAGCCAGTGGCCTACATCTACGAGAGCACGGGCCCCACCGGCGACTACAGCAGCGACTCGGGAAAGTACTGCCTCCTGTGTAACGCCTGGTTCAACAACCCCATGATGGCCCAGCAGCACTACGAGGGCAAGAAACACAAGAAGAACGCAGCCAGGGCAAAGCTCCTGGAGCAGCTGGGAGAGACCCTGGGCTCCGAGGCCCTGCGAGGTGAGCGGCTAAGCGGAGGGCTGGGGTGGGGAAGGTGGGGGGAGGAGGGAGGTGAGGGGGGCCAGGAGAAGTGGGAGAAACACGGTGATTTCCCCAGAGCTTTGAGCTGCCAGGAGTCAGGCTGGCCCGAGGCTCCATCTCTGTTTGTTATTTTTTTTATCACCTTCTCTTCCAGGTAATATTTGTTCCATCTCTTTTGATCGGATGGCCCCGGTTTAACCCCTTCAGCCCCGCACGGCGAGAGCCGCAGCCTGTGTGTGACGCGTCAATTGTATCCCAGTAAAATTCACTGAAGTCGTATGAGTCGGGACCATGACATTGAATGTGACTTACGCCAAGTCCGAGTTTCAGGCAAATAGATCATAGAAAATCCAATTTATTCAATAATCCACACTGCGCTTGTGTACTTTAATGCAGTCAATAAGTGCACATTCATTCACGGGTCAAGATTTACATTTCCTGCGGTTCAATGCATCTCGACCTGTTGCCGCATGTGCATTTACTGTCACTCGTAGGAATCGCATTGAATCAGGGGAAATTAAGTTTTTCTACGCATGCATCGACTGATGAAGACTACTTTTCCCGCAATTCAATGCAGCAAGTAAGTGCACATGCATCAACAGGTAAGGACGGAGTTTCCCGCCTTAGGCAAGTTTGCTTACTTCACACACCTCTGTTTACCTAGTAGTAAGTAGGAACTTGGTTGTTAGTTGATTGGTGGATTGCTTTTCCGGGGATAATAATTCCTTCAAAAAAAAATAATAATAAAAATGATCTCATCGCTCAATCCGAGACTGTTCGTGGGACACTGACGTGCACAATTGGCTGCTGCGTTTTGCCCACAAAATCCACATTCAATCCACTTCACAATAAGGTTTGTGAGATATTGCTTTGAGACGTCTCAACAACGTGATAATAAGACGCCATATCGAATGCAAGGCTTATTAAATAGAGTAAATCTGGAGCCGAGGGGGAAATTTCACACCTTGAGGAATTTAAGTTAATTGTGATTCCGACGAGTTAAATAGTTCCTGCGACTGATTGTACAATGTGGACTCTCAAGGGGCACAGAGCAGAGTGCTCGAGTGATGTGGAGAGGGAGTCGAGACGTGCATTAAGACATCATCAGCACTAACACTGGGCCTCACTCCTGCACTAATAGATTACAATGCATTAAACAGCCCAGTCCTTCATAAACAAGACCCCAGGCATCTGGGAAACTAATAAAGCATAACTGATAAAGCAATTGGAGGAACAGCCTTTTCGAATAATTCAGCAAGGTCAGAAACGCTACATTTTAAAAATAAATGATATCCCTCTCGTTGCCGAGGGGGAGGGGAGGGAGAGAGGGGTCATCTGGCGTTATCCTCAGCACCTTCCAAGCCGTTCACTAACACTCAAATGTGCGCGAGAAATCACAAAACGATCAGCAGTCCCCACCCTCTGGAACTCCACCTCGCCCCTTGCCTCACCTCCTTCAAGGTCCGTCTCAAGACCTTCCTCTCTGACCGTGGCTTCAGTCTTCGGTGTCTGGCTGAGGTTGGTGCAGAGGTGGAATGAAATTCCCTCTCACTGCTCATCTGCACAGAATGCGTAACTAGCAAAACCTAGCGAGCTACGGTTACTTTGCGATTCAGAGTCTCAAAGCGAGTGATGTTTCCCAGATAAGTGTCAGCACAAGGTCTGTGAAAATTTACACCACAGAAACAGGTCACTCAGCCCGACCAGTCCGTGCCGGTGGTTACACTCCACACAAGTCTCCCCCACCCCGTTCCTTACTCCCTTCCACACCCTTCTGTTTCCCTCTCCCTCGTTCTTGCTTCCTCTTGAATTGCATCGTTATCATAGATATCATCATAATACTCTGGCATAGAGTTACATAGCATCATAGAATTATACAGCACAGAAGAAGGCCTTTGAAATGAGCTTCCAAATCAACCTCACTCCCTCCACCACCCCCACCCGCCCATTCTCTCCTCATAGCCCTAATCAACCCCACTCCCCTGCTCTCTCCCCACTCCCTCAATCAACCTCACTCCCCCGCTCTCTCCCCATAGCCCTGATCAACCCCACTCCCCCGCTCTCTCCCCATAGCCCTAATCAACCCCACTCCCCCGCTCTCTCCCCATAGCCCTGATCAACCCCACTCCCCCGCTCTCTCCCCATAGCCCTGATCAACCCCACTCCCCCGCCTCCCCATAGCCCTGATCAACCCCCCACTCCCCCGCTCTATCCCCATAGCCCTGATCAACCCCATTCCCGCCGCGCTCTCCCCACAGCCCTGCAAACTTATCCTCCCCAAATAATTATCTACTTCTCTCTTAAAAGTTGTTATCGAATCGGCTTCCACCAGCCTTTCAGGCAGTGCATTCCACATAGAGCAATAAGGCAGAGAAACAAGCTATCCAGCCCAACTATATACTCCACACAAGCCTCCACCCCTTCCAATCCCTCTCCTACACCCCTCTATTCCTCTGTCCTACACCCCTTTATTCCCCTCTCCTACACCTCTCTATTCCCCTCTCCTACACCCGTCTATTCCCCTCTCCTACACCCCTTTATTCCTCTCTCCTACACCCGTCTATTCCCCTCTCCTACACCCCTTTATTCCTCTCTCCTACACCCGTCTATTCCCCTCTTCTACACCCCTCTATTCCCCTCTTCTACACCCCTCTATTCCCCTCTCCCCTCATGTTTGCATCAAGTTTCCTCTTTTGATGATTTTGCTCTAACCACAGCTCCCGGCATTACTGCACATTGCCGGGAGCACATTCTCACCTCCCTTTGTGTGAAGAAGTTTCTCCTAAACTCCCTATCAGATCTGTTACTGTCTGCCTTATATATTCATACCTTTCATCAACAAGTGGAGAGAGTCCATTGAAACCCACTTTATCGAATCCTTTCATAATCTTAAACCCCAATCGTCTCAACTCTGCAGAGACAAGCTCCAAGTCTGCTCAAGTGTAGTGACTGTGTATTTTGTAGGCAAAGGCAGAAGCCAATTAGTGTACACAGTCATGGCCATAAGGTGACCAATTATCTGGGAGAAGCTTCCCCCCTCTTTTCCAGTAGGGACTGACTTGATTTGGAGGCCAATTTCTTGTTAAGAACTGCGGAAAAACCAGCTCCTGCAAATTGAGCCTGGACCTAAGAATTTTCCACAATTTTCCACGTCATCATGAAGAGAAAGCTGCCATACAGCCCGGACCTGACTGGCCTCAGTGCTATTTTCACCAACAAACACACAGTCACTACGCTACGCTTCACAGTAAAATCCTGCGCAGTGTTTTGAGACGTCTCAGTTACGGAATGAGGCGCTGTATCAAATGCGAGCACTATTATGGTTCACTGCGGGGAGATCCGGTCGTCGAGTTATTCACTAGGTTGTGAGGGGTCTGCAACCTAGTGAGTGATAATTATTGCTAATAATAACAATGTAATCCCACTCCTGTCTCCGGGTCCTCATTATTACTGAGAAGCACGCTTGTTGCTGTCACAGTCTATAAAAAAGTGGATTGGTGTACTGAGTGTGCAGTAAAACCCCGAGGCCAGGAATTGATTAGACAGCTCGGAAATCAGTGCAGACCTTACGCAGGTCAATTTGCTAAACTCATTCTCCTTTTAACCGTAGAAGCAACTGCCCAGAGTATAGTGGAATGTTTTTCTCCTCTCTCTCTCTCTCTCTCTCACTGGGTTAATGTAGCCTGGCTTAGACACTCTTATGCTCTCACTTCCAGATCAGAAGGTTGTGGGTTTGGCCCCACATCAGGGACTTCATAATAATAATTATAATAATAATCCTTGCATTTGATACAGCATCTTATCATGTCTTTGAGATGTCTCAAAAGCGCATCACAGAATATACCGCAAAGTGAATTGACTGAATATTTTGTTGGTGAAACGCGGCAGCCGATTGCGCACATTAATGTCCCACAAACAATCGTGGATTGAAGTGACCAAATTATTATTATTTATTTATTTTGAAGGGATTAGGACCGCCCGGAAAAGTGATCCACCAACTGACTTGAGTTCGCAGTCTAGGCTGACCATCCAGTGTAGTGCTGTAGGAGTGTTGCACAGTCAGAGATCATGCGCTTCAGATGAGATGTTAAACCCATCTGTGCCCAGTTGGGCGGATGTTGAACATTCTGCAATGGGAGGGAGGGAGGAGCAGGAGGTTTATCCAAGACTGACAACCCTCCAGATAAATTGGTCACTCACTTCAGACCTTCTTGTGGGATTGTTGTGTGCAATTTGGCTTCTGTATTTAACCCCAGTGGAGTCATGTAGCTCAGTGGTTAGAGCACTTGCCTCGCAAGCGAGACCTGGGTTCAGTTCCGGGCAGGGCAAAACTAAGAACCAGGTTCCTACTTACTGGGCAGTTTCCCTACTCCACACGCCTCTGTTTACCCAGCAGTAAGTCGGAACCTGGTTGTTAGTAGATTAGCGGATCGCTTTTCCTGGGCTAATAATCCCTTCAAAATTAAAATAATAATAATTTGGTCACTCAATCCACGATAGTGGGACACCACTCTGCTCAAATTGGCAAATTGGCTGCCGCGTTTCACCCGCAAAATACAGTCAATTCACTTCACAGTATAATCTGTGAAGCGGTTTGAGAGGTCTCGAAGACATCAAAAGGCGCGATATCAAATGCAAGGATTTTTATTATTACACCTGCGAGCATTTGTCCCGCGAAGCACTTTTAATCGATTTGACGTCGTAGGCGCTGTACCGAAAGCAAAGATTATTATTAAAAAATAACAAGAGTGAGAGAAAGAAAATCTTTGAGTTCTGCTGCTGGGAGGTTGGGACGTTTCTGCAATAGATAGGGAACCATGTGTTATCTCCCAGTGACCCACATTGTGAAATGAACTCCCATTGACTAAAGAACATTAATCATATTCAGCCATAAATGTCACACCAATTGATAATTGCCTAAAAATACCTGGAGAGAAAAGCCTGCCTATAATTGGCTCGCTGACCTTACCATTCACCAC